TCTTCGTTCCCCGTGTCGCTGTGACTGTCGTCTCTTACACAGTCAGATGTCTTCCTGGATCTCTCCCTGAGTTCCTTGCTCCTGCTTTTCAGATCCTAAGATAAAGGGCAAGGGAAGACACATGACCAGAAAAGGCACTGTGGACTTGATCAAAGTCCTCAGTGACCCCTATGTGAGTGCTGCCCACCCCTTACATTCGATTCTCATGGTTCTGCCCAGGGTGACATCCAGACAGGAGAGCGTCCTGGGCCAATTAAAAGCTGTGTGGCTTGGGTGCGGGGACGGTGCAGGAGCTGGTTCCAGGGTCGTGCCCCTCCCCACCTCTACTCCTCTCTTTCCTGAGGCCCAGCTGCCTATTCCCCAGGCTCTCTGATCTTCTGTCCCTCTCTTCTACTCTACACCAAGCCCTTTTCCTCTTCCTTTATTCCCTAATTATCCCCAGCTGGAATGATTTTTCAATCACAGTATCTGAAAAAATTTCCTGCAGCTGAAAAAGAGGTCTCCAGAGGTCAATGCCCATATGCTGGTTCCTGAAGGCAGCCCCTGGTTAGAGGGACCCTCACCAACACTTACGGGGCATCAGACATGTTGCAGGTTTGACCACCCCCAACAAGAGTTTGCTGTGACCCCAAGGCCCGAACAGCATCCCTGATCACAAAAATGTAGTTGGCCCACTTATCCGTTATTAAGAACCAAAAATAAAAAAATTGTTCATGTTTCTTACTAAAATTATTTATGAGGTGGAAAAAGAAATTGTAATAGAAAAGAACAAATTTGACTCCATGTTAGAAGTGTTCCTTGGGCTTTAACCGTGTGCCCTGTTTTCTAGGCTCAGACTTGCTAGCTCTGCACCTTTTGTAAAAGAAAGTTGCCTTTAGCCTGAAATATCCAGGAGAGCCTATTCTCCGGGCTCTGATCTTTAAGACTGTTAGCTCTTCTGCACTTAAATAGGGATGAGAAGTTGTAAAACAGAGAATAAACTTTGTGTTTTTTTTGGAGGTTTTTCAGGGGCACCATGATTTGATCCACATGGACAGCTGCAAGAACAAAGGATTCCAAGGACAAACAATTCGTACAGCAAGAAGTTTGCAACAACCAACCACACCACCGCCTCTTTTTAGTATAAAAGGAGCCGGAATTCTGACTTGGGGAAGAGGGTTCCCCAGGATATCAGTATGCCATCTTCTGGGTCTGCCAGCTTTTCAAATAAAGTCACTATT